CTCCTTTAAAATGCAGGCATTGTACTTCCCATTTCCAGGACTCAAGTCCGACTATATGAAAATAACCGGTTTCCCTGAATCCCTTCACTAAATATTACCCTGCTCACACTCCAAAAAGATCGTCAGGTCCCAAGTACCATTCGTCTCCATTCACTCCTATCTAACACGCTCACGCACGCTTGCTGGAAGTCCAAGCCCCTTACCCACAAAACCTCCTTTACCCCCCCCTCTCCAACCCTTTCGAGGACGACCCCTACCCCGCCTTCCTTCCCCTATAGATTTATATGCTTTCCATGTCATTCTACTGTGATCCATTCTCTCTAAATGACCAAACCACCTCAACAACCCTCTTCTGCCCTCTGACTAATACTTTTATTAACTCCACACCTTCTCCTAATTTCCACACTCCGAATTTTCTGCATAATATTTACACCACACATTGCCCTTAAACAGGACATCTCCGCTGCCTCCAACCGTCTCCTCGCTGCTGCATTTACCACCCAAGCTTCACACCCATATAAGAGTGTTGGTACTACTATACTTTCATACATTCCCTTCTTTGCCTCCATAGATAACGTTTTTTGACTCCACATATACCTCAACGCACCACTCACCTTTTTTCCCTCATCAATTCTATGATTAACCTCATCCTTCATAAATCCATCCGCCGACACGTCAACTCCCAAGTATCTGAAAACATTCACTTCTTCCATACTCCTCCTCCCCAATTTGATATCCAATTTTTCTTTATCTAAATCATTTGACACCCTCATCACCTTACTCTTTTCTATGTTCACTTTCAACTTTCTACCTTTACACACATTCCCAAACTCATCCACTAACCTTTGCAATTTTTCTTTAGAATCTCCCATAAGCACAGTATCATCAGCAAAAAGTAACTGTGTCAATTCCCATTTTGAATTTGATTCCCCATAATTTAATCCCACCCCTCTCCCAAACACCCTAGCATTTACTTCCTTTACAACCCCATCTATAAATATATTAAACAACCATGGTGACATTACACATCCCTGTCTAAGACCTACTTTTACCGGGAAGTAGTCTCCCTCTCTTCTACACACCCTAACCTGAGCCTCACTATCCTCATAAAAACTCTTTACAGCATTTAATAACTTACCACCTATTCCATATACTTGCAACATCTGCCACATTGCTCCTCTATCCACTCTATCATATGCCTTTTCTAAATCCATAAATGCAATAAAAACTTCCCTATCTTTATCTAAATACTGTTCACATATATGCTTCAATGTAAACACCTGATCTACACATCCCTACCCACTCTAAAACCTCCTTGCTCATCCGCAATCCTACATTCTGTCTTACCTCTAATTTTTCAATTATAACCCTACCGTACACTTTTTCCTGGTATACTCAGTAAGCTTATTCCTCTATAATTTTTTACAGTCTCTTTTGTCCCCTTTCCCTTTATATAAAGGGACTATACATGCTCTCTTGCCAATCCCTAGGTACCTTCCCCTCTTTCATACATTTATTAAACAAAAGTACCAACCACTCCAACACTATATCCCCCCCTGCTTTTAACATTTCTGTCATGATCCCATCAGTTCCAGCTGCTTTACCCCCTTTCATTTTACGTAATGCCTCACGTACCTCCCCCACACTTACATTCTGCTCTTCTTCACTCCTAAAAGATGGTATACCTCCCTGACCAGTGCATGAAATTACTGCCTCTGTTTCTTCCTTAACATTTAAAAGTTCCTCAAAATATTCTCGCCATCTTCCCAATACCTCCATCTCCCCATCTACTAACTCCCCTACTCTGTTTTTAACTGACAAATCCATATTTTCCCTAGGCTTTCTTAACTTGTTTAACTCCACTCCAAAATTTTTTCTTATTTTCATTAAAATTTCTTGACAGTGCCTCTCCCACTCTATCATCTGCTCTCCTTTTGCACTCTCTCACCACTCTCTTTACCTTTCTTTTACTCTCCATATACTCTGCTCTTCTTATAACACTTCTGCTTTGTAAAAACCTCTCATAAGCTACCTTTTTCTCTTTTAATCACACCCTTTACTTCATCATTCCACCAATCACTCCTCTTTCCTCCTGCCCCCACCCTCCTATAACCACAAACTTCTGCCCCACATTCTAATACTGCATTTTTAAAACTATTCCAACCCTCTTCAACCCCCCCACTACTCATCTTTGCACTAGCCCACCTTTCTGCCAATAGTCGCTTATATCTCACCCGAACTTCCTCCTCCCTTAGTTTATACACTTTCACCTCCCTCTTACTTGTTGTTGCCACCTTCCTCTTTTCCCATCTACCTCTTACTCTAACTGTAGCTACAACTAAATAATGATCCGATATATCAGTTGCCCCTCTATAAACATGTACATCCTGGAGCCTACCCATCAACCTTTTATCCACCAATACATAATCTAATAAACTACTTTCATTACGTGCTACATCATACCTTGTATATTTATTTATCCTCTTTTTCATAAAATATGTATTACTTATTACCAAATTTCTTTCTACACATAGCTCAATTAAAGGCTCCCCATTTACATTTACCCCTGGCACCCCAAATTTACCTACTACTACTCCCTCCATAACATTTTTACCCACTTTAGCATTAAAATCCCCAACCACCATTACTCTCACACTTGATTCAAAAATCCCCACGCATTCACTCAACATTTCCCAAAAATCTCTCTCTCATCCTCTACACTTCTCTCTTCTCCAGGTGCATACACGCTTATTATAACCCACTTTTCACATCCAATCTTTATTTTACTCCACATAATCCTTGAATTAATACATTTATAGTCCTCTTTTCCTGCCATAGCTTATCCTTCAACATTATTGCTACTCCTTCTTTAGCTCTAACTCTATTTGAAACCCCTGACCTAATCCCATTTATTCCTCTCCACTGAAACTCTCCCACCCCCTTCAGCTTTGTTTCACTTAAAGCCAGGACATCCAGCTTCTTCTCATTCATAACATCCACAATCATCTCTTTCTTATCATCTGCACAACATCCACGCACATTCAGACTTCCCACTTTGACAATTTTCTTCTTCTTATTCTTTTTAGTAATCTTTACAGGAAAAGGGTTACTAGCCCATTGTTCCCGGCATTTTAGTTGACTTTTACAACACGCATGGCTTACGGAGGAAAGATTCTTATTCCACTTCCCCATGGATATAAAAGGAAAATTAATAAGACCAAGAACTATTAAGATAAAATCAAAGAAAACTCAGATGAGTGTGTATAAATAAATGTGTACATGTATGTGTAGTGTGACCTAAGTGTAAGTAGAAGTAGCAAGACATGCCTGTAATCTTGCATATTTATGAGACAGACAAAAGACATCAGCAATCCTACCATCATGTAAAACAATCACAGGCTTCGTTTTACACTCACTTGGCAGGACGGTAGTACCTCCCTGGGTGGTTGCTGTCTACCAACCTACTACCATATGCATATATATACTTTTTAAAATACATATTTATGAATGTTATGTACATGTATATACAGGTTGACCATCACTAATCTGGCACCATCAGGACCTGTAGAGTGCCAGATTAGTGATTTTTCCAGATTACAGAGTGGTAAGGTTAGAATACACTTAATGCAACGGCGATATTTACTCATCAGCGATTTCACCCGCTTTACACCCTATTTTTGGCCTATTACATTGTTCCAGTCTACCAAACTCATAGCTATTTTGCTAGTATACCTTCTTTCTGTCGATTGAGTACAAGAAACTGCCCATTTACTTATTTCAACTACCCAATAAAGTGGTCAGAAATCAGTAATTTGGCAAATTTCGAACAAATTTCAAGAGAATCCAGTTTTAAAATAGGAACCAGAATAAACAGTACAGACATTCCTGGGACTAAAATAACATTTTCTCTGTTCATTATTCACTTCTCCAGGTTACTCTTATATTACTCTTGCTTTTCATTTTGAATTTTTATTCACACAAAAAATAGAAGATTTACTGTTATTCAGGCTACTGCATTATTGTAATAATTGTATAAATAATGTCAACCCATTCATGACTGTATATTAGACCAGCCAGTTGGACACATATTGGGTGGTTACGTCATTTGTTTATTCTTGAACATTGGCAAAGATCAAACATTTCTGCTACTTTGAGCTCAATTTCAAGGTATTTTCCTTTGTGAAACCAATCAAAATCATATCAATTTCTGTAACATATGTTCCAGTCTATCAAATCAGATCAAAAAGAGTGAGAATACAACCATAAAAACCATACGAAAATACACCAAGTCCCTGTTTTACACCAGAAACACAATCGCAGTTTTTTCTCATTATGCACTGAGTTTTTTTATATAGTGCACATTTACCACACAGACCTATTCTCTCATATTTAGGCCCAAATTTACCAGTCACAGCTCATCTGAGTGAGCTGAGCTCATGGCAACTGAAAGTAGCTTCAAAGCCACCTTATCTTTTATGGACAATGTATGGTGTATTTGCTTTACACAACAAGAAGCATTTCTTTTAGTCATTGGAACCATGGCTATGGCTAAAAGTGAGCAGGTTGTAACAATAAATGGAAAAAACGAAATTGGAATGAATTATGCAGCAAGTAGTGCCACCAAACAGTCACAGCAGGTTGGTGTAGCGACCCCAGAAATTTGAGATTATGCTAGCCAAAATTAGTGCCAGATTACTGATCGAACCGGATTACTGGTGGCCAACCTGTACCTGTATTTAGATATATGCATGTCTATATCTGTATGCGAATTTTCAAAATAAAAATAAATTGTACAACAAGTGTAGGGTATCTTTTTGCACAGTTATTACTGTGAAGAGAAGACAGGAAGTCCATAGCATTCATACAGATTAATATTATAGCATTTGCATGTATGTTTGTTAAGCCTTTCAGATTCATTGTTGGAGGAAGATGTTGGAGGTGGTGGTGTGTTTTGCTCTCCCAGAGACTCCAGTAATCTAAGGTACGAGTGAAACACCGTCTTCTTTATTTCTTTATTTTAAGATAAAGTGACTGTGTATATTTTATCCACACATATTCAAGGAGAGCAATTTACAGGTGAAATAATATAATGAACATACATTATGTACAATGAGAGAAGGCTGCTGTTTTAACATGAGAGAAGGTTGCTGTTTTAACACATATAACTATTAACACTATGGTAAGCACAAACATAGACTGTGTGAAGGCAAGATTTCATAATATTTTTGAAAAGTAGAAATTTTAATCTGAATATTTTTGACTCTTTTTTTTTTTTATATATCATAAGCTCAGTAAAGAGTAGCATGTTAAATAAGAATTCAGGTGACTGGAGATTTATAAGCAAGACTAATTAAAATTAGATAAAAATTTACTTAACATTTTAGGACTAGACAAGTCAAAAATTATAATTCACATATAAAAATTTGATAATGATATAGACAGATTTATACATGCACTATACAAAATGGCATGGAGTATATGACCCACAATACACCTTGATAACATTAAGAAGGTAATGGTACTGGGATGAGGTGCATTAGCTCACTGGTATGAAGCCATTTTTGCGAGCGAACAAACGCTGAGCACAAGTACACCCATTGCTTCATCATTTAAGCTTCACTACCCAGTATTTTAATTTTCTATATTACTAATTCTTATTACTTCAAGCTATCTTTGTAACCAAAGTATTCTTATATTAAAAATATATACAGTAGACAACCACCTTTTGTGAGAGTTATGTTACTGAATATCGAGGCTATTATGTGAAAACACGCTGGGTGAAGTGAACAACTTGTTGGAAGAATTGCATTACATTCCATGACACTATTTTTTAAATTAATGTATATATTATTTCTTAATGATCTAGAAATGTGTGGAGATGGCTCATGTTTCCCTACTAGGCCTGGTTGGATGAAGTGAGGTTTAAACATTCAACATGTGCAAAATGTTTGACTTTAAAAGGGTTATCCCAGCTTAAATTTACATCATGTATCTTTTGTGTGCCTATAATATCTGTGTGCAGTCAAAAATCACTGTAAATTTTTTTTACCAAAACCTAGAAAGTTATTAAATAACCTTACTTAACCCTTTGACTGTCGCGGCCGTATATATACGTCTTACGAGGTACAGTGTTTGACGTATATATACTCATAAATTCTAGCGGCTTCAAATCAAGCAGGAGAAAGCTGGTAGGCCCACATGTGAGAGAATGGGTCTGTGTGGTCAGTGTGCACCATATAAAAAAAATCCTGGAGCACGCAGTGCATAATGAGAAAAAAAAAACTCCGACGGTTTTTTTAATTAAAATGCCGACTTTGTGGTCTATTTTCGTATAGTATTTATGGTTGTATTCTCGTTTTCTTGGTCTCATTTGATAGAATGGAAAACATATTATAGGAATGGAGGTGATTTTGATTGATTTTACTATAAAAAGAACCTAGAAATGGAGCTCAAAGTAGGGGAAATGTATGATTTTTGTAAATGTTCAAAAGTAAACAAATGATGCCATTGTCCAATAAATGTCCAACTAGCCATTCTAATATGCAGTCATGAATGGGTTGATGTTATTTATACAATTATTACAGTATTGCAGTAGTCTGCATAATAGTAAGTCTTCTATTTTTTGTTTGAATAAAAATTCAAAATAGAAAGCAAGAGTAATATCAGAGGAGCCTGGAGACGTGACTGATGAACGAAGAAAATGTTATTTTAGAGCCAGGAATGTCTGCATTGCTCATTCTGGACCTTATTTTGAAATTGTCATATTTTTTAGTTTTCGTGAAATTGGCCGAATTGCAAATTTCTGACCACATTATTAGGTAGTTGAAATTGGTAAATGGGCAGTTTCTTGTACTCAATCGATAGAAAAAATGGAGTTCTAAAGAAATAGCTATGAGTTTGGGCAACTGGAACAATGAAATTAGCCGAAAATAGGGCTCAAAGTGGGCAAAATCGCCGATTTGTAAACAGCGCAGAGGTCGCTAACTTCGCGAGAGCATAATTCCGTCAGTTTTCCATCAAATTTCGTTTTTTGATGTCATTACAATCGGGAAAAGATTCTCTATCATTTCATAAGAAAAAATAATTTTTTTTTTTTTTAAATTTTGCAACACCAGGAGACACCTCAGGATTGGGGGTTACGACAGTCAAAGGGTTAAGTAAGGCTTGAGGGAAGTGCATGTCTAATACAGCTACTGTTTGTTGGTTTAATATATATTTCTCTTCTTACCACCTCCAGTATTACTAGTAGTCCTTTTTTGTCATGGTTAATATCCAGAGACAAGACAGAGTGATAAAAAGAGAAACAGAATGAACATAAGTGTGTGTTTGTGTGTGTGGGTGGGTGGAGTCAGATGATGGTATTAAGTGAACATGGTGACTACTGGCCAGCCAGCTAAGTGCCTCATGAGATATTCAGCAGTAAACATCTCATTCTAGTCTTTCATGACTTTTGACTACAAAATCTGTAGTCCTTGACTAATCTTCATCAAATGAATGTGACTTTCTATACATGTGTGTGATCATACACAAAGTATGAATGAATCTGGTTAAAAACTAACTGAGGTAAAAATATTAGTAATAATTCAATTTAATTGAAATGTAATACAAAATGTAGAGCTCTTGATCAATCTCTACCAAACAAAGATGAGCTCTCTAAACATACATAAAAATGAGTATACACATGGTATGAATAAATTGGGTGCAAAAACAAGATTTCAAGATTTTTTTAATTTAATGATAGAAATAAAAAAAAAGTAGAGCCACTACAATAGGAAGAGAACCTTCGGAGTGAAACGAGGAAATAGACACAAAAATAATGAGTCACAAGCAGACAGAAATGCAGTAGCTGGAGATGCAAAAGTTGGTGGTCTACTGTAGTCATTCCTGGGTTTGACATTAGCAATGACAGTGAAGTAGCTGTCAATATTTTGTGTTCTTGTAACCAATATAATATTCAATAATAAAGACATTTTAAGAGAACCATAAATGTATGGCACTGGAATGAATCTACCATTTAAAAACTTGGATAATGAAGGTATGGGTGTATATACACTGCTGCAGCTACAGTTTACTGATTAAATAAACCAAATATGGTATGTATATTTTATACATGCCTCCAGAATATCAGGAATTGGCAAATTACACAACAGTGAAGACATTCTATTAAGCTAAATAGTAATTAAAGTATGAAAATATGAAACAAAGTTACACATAACATCAAATTTTACCTTTAATTACTTTGCTTTAATAGTAAAACTGAAATTTCATCCTAAATTAGCTCAATAAATGCCTGCTGAAATATTTAAAATTTGGTATTATTTGTTTGCAAGAACTTCCATGCCATATCACTCATCAAAATATAGCTATTTCATGATCTACAGTTTGGTTTTCTCCTTCATATCTACTCCCTGAAACCCATGAGATGAAAGCTGGACTTGATGTAGTGCTGTCTGGCCCTCAGCCCCAAGACTCAGCAATGAACGTCTGGCAGCTTCCCGAACTTCTCCACTGGAATCATGTTGTTGAAGATAGGAAAGAACTTCTACAGGCCGAGGCCATTCAGGAGTTACTTCTAGAGCTGAGGAATGTTTCTTGGTTTTTGAGCTTTTGCCAGGTACTGGTTTTTGAGAATCTGTTTTGCTTTGGGTATTAACAGGAACAATGGGTGCCAACACTCCCAGCAGTATACATGCAGCCTCTCGATCACTTGTACGGTTAGATTCTAGCAGAAGTAAACACAGATCTACAATCTGGAAAACAGGAAGCATAAATTATATTTACAATATAAGAAATTAAATATTACTGCAGTACCCAAAAGACACTTTGAATTACTATAACTAATGATTAGTTTCCATTGTAACAATTACAGCATTTTAAAATGAGCCTTTAAGGTAATTACTGAATGTACTGTACATATACAAAGGTCCCTCAATAATCGTTGGGCTCGATAGTCATCCTTTTCGGGAATCATCGCATTATTTTCGTCCAAACATTGGCTCGCAAATGGTCGATTGACTCGCTAATCATCATTCATCCTGGACGCGTACTCACGGCTCTGAGCCGCCTCGGCCTCCCTTCCCAACCAGTGTGCCATTGTTTACCAGCAAGCGATGGTCCCTTCACTTGTTCATACGAAATATTTCATAATATTCCATTCATTTTAGTGCTTGCAAGTGCTAAATAGGCTACCATGGCTCCAAAGAAAAACATAAATTGAACAATATGAAAGTGGCATACGTGTGGCTGAACTGGCCAGGATGTATAACAAACCCCATACAACCATATCTTCCATTGTGGCAAAGAAAAAGGAAATCAAGGAAGCTGTTTTTACTTGGAGAAAATTGTGTCCAGATTGTGTCCACAAGAGGGATTTTGAAGGGTTTGTGGCTGACCCTGATGAGCCTATGTCAGTCGTGAAATCTATTGTAGCATTGGGGAGTTCCATGGGGTTGGATGTGAGTTTGGAGGATATGGAAGAGTTGGTGGAGGACCACAACAAAGAGCTAACCATTGAGGAGCTGCAAGAGCTTCAGCAGGAACAGCAACAGATCGCAGCTCAGAATCTTGCTGCAGAGGAGGAGGAAGAGAGATGGAAGAAGGTGCCTTCTTCAGAAATGTGGGGTAGGATGGAAAGATTTATGGAGAAACATCACCTGGATAAGGATGTTGCAAGCCATATCGACAACTTGTACAGTGACAGAGTCTTGGCCCATTTTAGGAAAGTTTTAAAGAGACGCTAGACACAGAGCTCTCTGGACACTTTTTTTGCAATACAGGACTCCAGTGATTCTCAAGCTGGTCCTAGTGGCATTAAGAAACACAGAAGAGAAGTATGTAACCCCAGAAAAGGATTTGGTACCTGAGGTGTTGATGGAAGGGGATTCCCCTTCCAAACAGTAACTAATCCAATCTCTCTCCTCCTCCAGTCTTCCATACACTAAGAAGAATCATCAATAAAGGTAAGTGTTATGCTGTTACTGTTTCATTCATCATGTCCCACTGTATTGTTTATGTACTACATCTATATTTCATGTAAAAAATTTTTTTGTTTTAATACTTCTGGGTGTCAGGAACAGATTAACCCTTTGACTGTCGCAGGCCCCTTTCTGAAACTGTCATTCTATGTCGCAAAATATTCGAAAAAAACAAAAAAAAATTTCTTATGAAAATTTTAAGATTATTTTTCTGAGTGTTTTAGTCCAAAAAAAAAAAAAATTGCCATCAGTACTTACCGAGATATAGAGGCATGAAGTTTGCAGAAAATGAGCCGTGTATGGCAACAGTGGCAACTGCCGCTCACCTGGTAAACTTTGGTTTACTTGTAATTGAAGGCTTGTTGTTTTTTCACTCTTATTTTTTCACATAACTTATGTGGCCTGTGAGACCAAAGTAAGGTGCAATGTACATATATATACTCGTTGTATACAACACAATAAGCACACAAACATAATTATCAATATATTGTTTACAAAACTTGTTTACAAAAACAAACAATACAAATTTTTTTTTATTACTATTGTTCTATAATATACAGTGGACCCACAACCAGCGATGGCATTGATTAACGATAAATCTGACTAGCGATGCATTTTAACGCAAATATTTTGCCTCAACTAGCGCTTAAAAACCCGACCAGCGCTATTCGTTCCGTACCATACGCGTCCAAAGTACTTTGGCCTGAGCGCGCCTCACTTATCCCTTGGGTGCCAGTGTTTACAAGCCAGCCAGCCACAGCGGTCGCTTCCAAACATACAACAACTGGAACATTTCATATTATCACAGCCTTTGTAGTGATTGCACCTGCAAAATAAGTCACCATGGGCCCCAAGAAAACTTCTAGTGCCAACCCTACAGCAAAAAGGGTGAGAAATACTATGGAGATGAAGAAAGAGATCATTGCTAAGTATGAAAGTGGAGTGCATGTCTCTGAGCTGGTCAGGTTGTATAATAAACCCCAATCAACCATCACTACTATTGTGGGCAAGAAAATGGCAATCAAGGAAGCTGTTCTTGCCAAAGGTGCAACTATGTTTTCGAAACTGAGATCGCAAGTGATAGAAGATGTTGAGAGACTGTTTTTGGTGTGGATAAATGAGAAACAGATAGCAGGAGACAGCATCTCTCAAGCGATCATATGTGAAAAGGCTAGGAAGTTGCATGACGATTTAATTACAAAAATGCCAGCAACTAGTGATGTGAGTGAATTTAAGGCCAGCAAGGTTGGTTTGAGAGTTTTAAGAAGCGTAGTGGCATTCATAGTGTGATAAGGCATGGTGAGGCTGCCAGTTCGGACCACAAATCGGCTGAAAAATATGTGCAGGACTTCAAGGAGTACATAGACAGTGAAGGACTGAAACCTGAACAAGTGTTTAATTGTGACGAAACAGGCCTGTTTTGGAAGAAAATGCCAAGGACCTACATTACTCATTATTCATTACTTCTCCATCACTGTCTTGCCAGAGGCATGCCTACACTACAGATATAAAATTGCAACTTATCAACACCCCTCCTTCAGAGTGCAGGCACTGTACTTCCCACCTCCAGGACTCAAAGTCCAGCCTGCCGGTTTCCCTGAATCCCTTCATAAATCTTACTCGCTCTTATCTAACATGTTCACGTATGCTTGCTGGAAGTCCAAGCCCTCTTGCACATAAAACCTCCTTTACCCCCTCCCTCCAACCTTTCCTAGGCAAACCTCTACCCTGCCTTCCCTCCACTACAGATTTATACACTCTTGAAGTCATTCTATTTTGTTCCATCCACTCTACATATCTGAACCACCTCAACAAGCCCTCCTCAGCCCTCTGGATAACAGTTTTGGTAATCCAGCACCTCCTCCTAATTTCCAAACTACGAATTCTCTGCATTATATTCACACCACACATTGCCCTCAGACATGACATCTCCACTGCCTCCAGCCTTCTCCTTGTTGCAACATTCACCACCCATGCTTCACACCAATATAAGAGCGTTGGTATAACTATACTCTCATACATTCCCCTTTTCGCTTCCATTAATAACATTCTTTGTCTCCACTGACTCCTCAGTGCACCACTCACCTTTTCCCCCCTCAATTTTATTATTCACATGGTCTTTCATGACCCATCTGCTGACAAGGCCACTCCCAAATATCTGAATATATTTACTTCCATACTCCCTCCCTCCAATCTGATATCCAATGTTTCATTACCTAATTTTTTTCTTATCTTCATCACCTTACTGTTTCCTATGTTCACTTTTAATTTTCTTCTTTTACATATGTACGTTGGATTGCGTGCAGCCAGCAGTAACAGCCTGGTCGATCAGGCTCTGATCCACCATGAGGCCTGGTCACAGACCGGGCCGTGGGAGCGTTGACCCCCAGAACTCTCTCCAGGTAAACTTCAATACCCTACCAAACTCGTCCATCAACCTCTGCAGCTTCTCTTCAGAATATCCCAAAAGTACAGTGTCATCAGCAAAAACCAACTGTGACACTCCCACTTTGTGTCAGATTCTTTATCTTTTAATCCCATGCCTCATGCCAATACCTGATCGTTAGATAAAGATAAAGATATTTATTTTGACAAATTGCATGGTTTTACAGAGGAATATAACAGTTGGGTGTACATGCCACAAGCCCCTTTATATGCAGAGCATTTCGGGCAAACTTAAAATTAACTTAAGATTAGTAAGGCAATAATACATAGTTCATATGGTCATTAGATGAGTTATAGTAAGTACAGGAGAATTGCATATTCTATCCATTGTACCATATGGTACTATTTGGTACTGTTGTACTCAACACAACCACACTAATATTTTCATTATGATTTTGTTTACAATTTACTTGTAAACAAGTTTTGTAAGCAGTACAATGATAAACAAATTAGTACAGTTATTGTGTTGAATACAATGAGTGTATATTTATACATTTTACATTATATTGGTCTCACAGGGCACAAAAGTTAGTGGAAAAAGAAAAATAGAAAAGAAAAAAGTAACAAAAAACTAAAATAAAATAATGAGACTTTACGGAAGTCGCGGATGTTGCCGCCAACAGGTCATTGAGGGTTACCTTCACGCCTCTGTATCTTGGTAACTACTGATCAATTTTTTTTTTTGTTTCATTACCTACAGAAAATTATTATCTTTAATTCTGTAAGAATTTTTTTTTTTTTTTTTTTTTTTTCAAAAATTCTTGGACCCTGGTGCACCTTTTGAGATTTGGCCTCTGGACCCTGAAAGGGTTAAATAAAAACACCAACCATTCCAAAACTATATTCCCACCTGCTTTTAACATTTCTGTCTTCATCCCGTCAATCCCCAGCTACTTTACCCCATTTCATTCTACCCACTGCCTCACGCACTTCCCCCACATAATCAAACCTGTAATTCTTATAACAATTAAACTCAATAAAAGCCATATAGCATGTACTAATAGGATATTCAATTCTCTAAATTTATTTTTACAACCACCTAAGAGACTGTATTTAAAAGCACTCAATTAGTCATTGCCTTATTAATCTGAAGATAATCTTAAGTTTGCCTGAAATGCTCTGCATATTAAGAGGGCTTTCTGCATGCACACCTAAATGCCATTCACCTCTGTACAAACACTGTATCATGCTGAAATACAGAATTTTAATCTTAATACATGAATAACCTGCATTTAGGAGACTGAAACTTATGATGATGTTTGAGTCCGACTTGGACCATTAAATAGTGACTACGTAATGGTCCAAGTCGGACTGAATTGTCATCATAAGTT